CATATAATATCAAAAATAAATCTTATTTTGACAAACTAGTGTCAGTGACCAGCGTCAGGACTGTGCCGTCTCCAAGATGCTGATTCTGCTGTGCACCATGCTGGGTGGACTCTCGCTTGCTGTCTGCCACCTGCCCAAACCAGTGGGAGACTGATGCCAGCTAGAACTTCCAGTTTAATAATTTAAACTTGGGATTGTTTCCCCCATCTTGCAAAGATGATTTCATGTTTGCCAGTCAATATGAAGTATCAGGAGCAGACAGTGAATCCTGTGAGAACACTCTTGTACTAAAATAAACATGGAGCAGAAACTGAAGAAAATTATTTTTGGATGTTTGTTAAACAACATAAAAGTTAAAAAGTTTTTTTTTTTTAAGAAACAAACTTCACCAAATATATCCTCTGCCCTGTGAAGGTCCTGTGACCTACTCTTCACAATGCAGGAAAGCCAGTGAACTAAATATTTTGAAGCGACCATCCCCACACACACCAATGCACACTCGCTCTCGCACTGTTACAGAACACAATCTGATGATGGATGTGGTAACTCTTTATATCACCAAAGACCATCCATCCAAATTACCTGGTTCTGTAAGACATGACAGCAGAATGCCCAGCATGAAATGTAGAAAGAACAAGTCTGATCATAGGAACTAATTTACAGTAAAAAGAAAGTGGACTTGGGACCTGTTTAGATTTGATATCCTGTAAATCATTATATAAACTGTATCAACGCAGACATCCATTTATGTAGCCCTGTGTTCTTGTGTGTATATCAATCTGTATGTTTTATGGATTGTTAGTACTGATCAGAATGCGGAACGGAGGCTCTACCCTCTCAGCTCATTGGGGCAGTTATAACTCTTGTCAAAATGCAGCAAGGCTATTGTGTTGGCTGTGGATGTAGCTGCGACATTTTTAGTTGGAATGAAATCCTGCCTCTTCCTCCTCTTTCATGATGTCCCCCATCTTTCTTTTCTCATTCCCCTGCTCTCTCTTTATAATCTCATTTTCACACAGTATCACCCTCCCCTTGCTTCCTTTCTCTCTCCCTCCAACTTTTTCTCCTCTCCTAGGTCGGTTATGTGAGCAGGGGTGTTCCCTGTGCATTTCTAAAGGAGTCCCCGGTGAAGAACAAATGCAGAGAACAGGCAGGGAGGGGAGGAAACAAACGAGATTGAACAAAAAGCAAGGTAGAGGGAGAACTGGTGGAGGTTGAACAGAAGTGGGAGCCTATTAGACAATGAATAACAGAGCAACGAGGTAAAATAGGAAGCTCAGGAATATTGTTGAGAGTATCAGCCACTCACGCTGGTGAGCTGACTCCTAAAATTAGCCAACCAGCAGTAAATATGAAAATGTTTTCATTGCACATTAACAGTGTCCCAGGAATCTCATAACTGTTTCCGATATTTAGAGGAGTCTCTGTATTTAAGTCCTCCCTGGCTACATAAATAAGAATATTAGGAACACCTCTGATTATACTGTAGTCCAGTACAACACCACCTTTTACTATGTCCTCAGTAATAAAACATAAGTAATGCATACATTTATGACAATTTCACCAAAAAGGAAACATTTTTAGCTTCATAAACACCAATGTTAAGGCAGAAGTGTTGCGTTGAAGTGTGCACAGTTGTACAGGTGGACTAAGACAGTGGTCGGTGAGTGTTTATTTGGTTTTGCTCTGAAAAGTTCATGTGAAAAGATTCAGATAATGCGTTTGATTTCTGCCTCCGTTCCTCTCCACCAGTGTTTAACATACTGGGTCACAAGTGGAGCTGTGTTCATCTATCCTCAGAGTGTAGATCCACAATGTCATTTGGCAGAGTAAAGTTTTACTTTTCCCAACTTTCCCCTGTTAACTATGGAGAGTTTGGCCAGATATCGAAGTCCGGCCCAATTATGTCTGCCTGCCTCTGTTGGATTGTTTATACCTGCTGCACATGGGTGTCTGTGGGGATGTGGAGGGTGGCTAAATTGCACAGGGGAGTAGGCTATATGTGTGTGTACAGGTTCATTTTTTGCTGTGTGTGTGTGTGTGTGTGGGTGCCTCTGACTGCATCTGAAAACACCGACCCAATCCCCCTCTCCCACCAGCCACGCATCACTTCTCCCTCCCTTTTCCCCTGGCATCTCTCTACCCGGGAGGCTTGTCCAGACCACACGGCTAATAAAATGGGCCAGCTACGCAGCTGAGCACTATTTTTATCAGAAAGCAATTTTCAGGAGGTGCCCACAGGTAAGTGGGTCCCGGAGCCTCGGACAACGCAGCCATGACAAGCAGTTTCCCATCGCCATTAACCTCTGAGCTACTGCTGCGCCCTGGTGCTGCAGCAACACTGCACAGGCACTGCTTAGACCTGCTTCTTGTACCTGCATTAATGTCAACAAAATCCATTTATTTAAGTTGTTAAGACTGCATGTTGCTACTTGTACTGTCATGTAATTGTTTCTTGTAAGTAATATCAAATGTTTGATCTAATTTGTTTTATCTATATAATGCATGCATTTTAATGTTTTATCTTCCTGTGTGCATTGTTAAGGACTTTGAAATGTCATTGTGCTTGAAAATGTAACATAAAAATAGACTTGCCTTGCCTCACCTAAGACAAAATGTATACATGAGCAGTGGGCATCAAATACTTGCTATTTGGTCTTTAGTGCTTTTTAAGTATGTACTGTATGACTTAAGATTTTCAGGGCGTTAGATATGATGTAGAGAAAAACTGTGGCTGGGAAATAAAGATGAATATACAGTGACCAGATGAATAAAGGTACTGCAGAGAGGACAGTGACAAGGCAATGATGAAGAAAAGGAGTGCATAAAGACAGATGGGCCCACACAGCCCATCTGGCCCCTTTCTTCATACAGCTGGAGTTTCTGGCTCTGCTATGAAAACGTTTCTGCTTGTATATGTCACATGGCCAGTCCTGGTTCTCTTTCCATCGCCTGTTTTCCCAGCTCTTTTTCTGCAGACATTTAGCTCTCATCTAGTCCCCAGTTGCCCAGACATGCCCTCCAGCTCGATCCTTCCTTCCATTTTCTTGTTGTCCAGTCCAGATGGCCACACCCACCACACCTGTATCTACTCCTCTGATTAGCACCCTTATCTCACCATTTCTTGTTTATCTATCGTGCTAACTTGCAGCCTTGTGCTTGATGTAGCCTCAGTTTTCTTGCCCCTGGTGCTTCTTGTGATCCAAGAGGTTCCTGTGTTGCTTGTGTTTTGGATTATTTCTCTGTTTTGGGCTTGTTATCTGGGTTTTCCTCTTGTCTTCTCACCTGGACTTGTTGCTTGGCCTGGATCATTTGCATATTTCTCAACCCTGTATTGGGCTTGCCTTGCTTCTGGATCTCCCTGCTCAGCTTTGTCTGCCTGGATTCATAGTAAGTCTCTGTTTTTGTACTTTGTTGTGTAAAAGTGTTAATTTTACCTGCTTGCCTGTCAAAGTCCACATTTGCGTCCTCTCTCTGCCTGCTTAGTTTGTTAGATTATTAATATCTGTAAACTGTCAAGGTGAAATGCTTGGTCATTTGGTAGCTGGAGGAGAACAGACTGTACAGCAGTCTGTGAAAGATATGTGTTTTTATTTGTCACATGTCTAAAAGTATGCCAAGTCAGATTTGATTTTTTTTTTTCTTGCTTCGTGTCACGGGAAAAGAGTGAAAACCGAGGTAAAGAGTGTGATGCAGGGCAGCATGTATTTAATGTAAATTTCTGAAAATAAACTTCCCCTGTGTAGCAGCATGTTTTAATGTTACTCAACTGAGTAGATTTCTTGGTCGTGGTGTTTCTGACTCATGATGATTTGCTAAGTTGAAAACCTGTTAGCTGACATAATAGTCCAGTGATACAATATTTATGATGTTACTGATTATGTTGTGCGGGGAGAAAGCCAAGAGATGTACAGTATGTCAAAGTTTTGTACTCCCTGCCTCCTGTTTGCCCTAGAAGTGCAGAACATAAAAAGATTCTAGCATTAACCTTTGATTTAATTTTTAATATATTTACATTGTGGTATATTTAATTCTGGTGTTGCCTTCCCTCTACTAACAGCACAGTTGCTCATATTTTTATGTCTACCACTTGCAGCCTATCTGAAACCTTCTAATCAAGCTTTCAGTCATATTTATGGACCTGTTCTAAAAACATTGTCACAATGTCATTTGCTTTCGCTTTGTACTTGATGTCGCCTTTACAATTAACATCCATGTGGGACAGTGGTCAGTGTTTTGGCTGCGTTAGCATGGATGACATGAGCTAACCTCACTTGGTTGGTATCTTGGGAGCTGCTTTATTTCAGTCAAAATTTCAAGGAACAGAAATATATTTAAAATGGGCAGAAATGTTTTGGCACCTTTGAGCCTTTTGCTACATTACTGTTAGTTCATATTAGATTTGGAAATGGTCCTAGAATAGGTACATAAAAGGGAAAGAATAAAATGGTGAAAGGGAGAGGTTTCAAGACAATGAGGTGGATGACAAAAGGAGAGAGATGAAAGGTGCATAGAACTCTAAGGACAGCAGATAAGGGTCACATCAAGACAGGGTTGTAGTTTTTGGAATTAAAGAGGTTCATGGGGTGAGCGCAATCAAGGGGGAATGGGAGAAGAGTATGGCGATGGTCATTGCTCCCAGGGGAGATATTATGTTTGCTTTGATTCTGGGTCTGTTGGGTCATCCTTCTCTCCCTCCCAGCATCCTCTTCTCCCCTGCTCCATGTCAGTCTCTCCTCCTCTCAAGACAATGACAACAATCAGTTGTTCACTTCCTTTTTACTTGTACTAAGGCTAAGTTGTCCTGCCACCCTTGCAACCTCAAGTTTGAGGAGTCCTGGCATTGAATACAGATTCACGAGTGCTGTATGGACACACAAGGTGAAACACGTAAGGTGAAAAACTAGGAGTAACCACACTAAATGGGTGAAATCATGGATGCTACAGTGACAAGCTGAAGGGTCTTTTCCAAACCGTTCTCTTCTCCCATATTGATTGGCTGAGCTGAACAGCCATCAGTGGTCTCTCTCACACTGACAAAGCCTGACCAGCATTTCCGATTCAACATGATGAACCAGCTGAAAAGCTGCAAACTAGTGTCAACGGTGTGGAATCCACCGGGAAGACGACGCTACGATGGCTGACCAGTGGCTTGGTGTGTTTCTACCCTTGCATCTATGAGAAGGTCAAATATATTAAGTACAGTATATTTTGTTTAAATTCATTTCCCATCCTGCATATTTTTAAATTGAAGCTTTGTCGTGACTCATTCCTCTACTTTCCTTCTCACCTTTAAAGGACATTCACTTCCTTTTCTGATTTATCTTTAGCACCATTCATAAATAAAGTCTGCAGCATTTGAAGTGTTATTTTTTTGTAAAGTAGATTTATTTTGTGATAATGTATAAACGTTGTCTTCTTTCCCCTTCTCTGTCTCTCCTGAGTGGTGAAACAAGCACTGAAGTGTTACTTTGGAGATCCTTAAGTATCTCAGGGCTAAAGTGGGATGTTTGGCAGCCCGCCTTCTTCACTTTGGTAGGTGAAAGAGAAAAGGTTCATTCCTCTTCAGTAAAACAATTGCTATTTATTTCTTTCCTTGTCCTGGCAGGAGCTGCATTCACTACTGCTGTGTTAATGTGTCTGGAGACTGTGGAGTGTGGGGTGTAAATGAAACCAAAGAGACAAGTTGGGGTTTGGCATACTTGCATCTGATCAATTATTCATGCTGTGTGTTTGCAGGGGAAACCACATAGTACAAACTAAAGTGATCAAATCTGTACATGGATATTTATTTAAAGTTGACGTTTTGTGTGGCACAGCAGTGACTTTGGGGTGCAACTTTTAGGGATTCTGTTGTAACTTCAGTCACAAATTGAAAAATAGTTTCACATTTGTAACTCAAACATCTAATGCAATATTACACTTATTAAAGTGGCTTATACTATTTCCACTCCCTAACGTGAGCGGTGTCATGACAGCTGCATGCATTTGGAGTGACTTTACCTGCTGTCAATAACACCTGAAACATGATTTATTGGTTATTTTTATTTTTATAATGGCTTATTGTTAGTTTATTGGCTTATTGTTGTTAGTTTGTATGTATTGTACTTGTATGTATTAAAAATCTGTTAAATAGCCTGCTCATCAAAGGGCCCTGAACACAATGTTGACCACAATTCATGAGTTCTTATTGTGAACATGACAGGCTCCTGCTCTATAGTTCCCATTGACATTTGACCTTCCTGTAGCAGAGACAGGAAAATTAGATTTTTTTTTTTTTTTTTTTTTTTTTTTCCCCCACTGACTTTGTGAGACTTGTCATCCTGTGTTGCCTATTTTCTTTTTTTTCTCATAATTCATAAAGGAAAAATTGAATACCTCATCAAGCACATAAACTGTCTAATAAGCTTTTAAGATAAACTGATGTCATTGCATATGTATATTAGAAATATTTATATAATCATTAAATTAGGTTAAATGCTTGGATAAAATGTGAAAAATAGTTTGTGGCACTAGAGAATACACAAGGAGTATAAACAGACTACTGAGGATAATGCAGAAAGAAAATGATGAGGGGGGAAAAAAAGCATTAAATATTAATGATGCAACTGATAAAGATAAATGATGGGGCTAAGGAAGGCAAAGCTTTTCCCTGAGCCATTACTGGTAAATGTACAGCTAGGAGGAGGTACCTCATCTTCAACTCCTTTAAATAAGTGTAATTAACTGCTGCATGTGTGAGGGGGAACACATCAGCCACAAAGGCCCATGAAAGATTAACTCTGTGTAGCCACTGGAACATTGCTGCAGCTGAGGTGAGCCTTTGCTATTGCTAAAAAAAGATAAGGGGAACACCTTTTCACATAGGTTTTAAGTTGCTAGAGAATGCTGTCTGTCTGTGCTGCAACTGTTATTTTCTGCAATACATTTTGCATGATACACAGTGTCACCTGTTAATTTGTAATCAACATACACATTTTAAATGATTCACTGAAAATACATTGCATTTGTTTTCCTGTGACATCCCATCTTGCTGTGCAGTATCCATTATACCAGTTGAGCTTGATTTAAACATTTGTAGTTAAGGGAAGGCTAAGCTCAGTACTCAAAAGGTCAGCAGTGACTTGAAGCACAGCACACTACAAGTTTACTTTATTATAATTTAATAATAAATGTCAGATTTCCTTTCCTGTGTTTTAGCGTGGTGCAG